CGCGGTGGGCAGGGTGGCATCCCCCGGGACACAGCTCTGTCCCCTAGGCCAGGACAAGCCCAGACACCCACAGCGGGGGTCCCGTGACTCAGTTTCCCACTGCAGCTCAAGGAAGGTGCCCGTCTCACTGCGGAGAACAGGGGAGAAGAGGTGTTTTCTCTCCCACGGTTGGGCACATCACTGCTTGTACCACTGTCCATCTGCAGAGTGCTTGGCAGCAGCAGATAGACCCCAGCCTGCCTCTAGCCCTGGCAGCCATGCCTCAGTTTCCCCACCGCCCCATGTCCTGTACTGCAGCACCCCCAGACCTGGCCCAGTTTCAGCCCCCTTCCCAAAAGAAAGCCTGAAGTCATTAATGCCAGGGACCAAGGGCTCCAGGACAGACAGACCTGAGCCCAACTCACAGCTCTTGCCCCCAGCTCTGGGGGCCCCAGCCCCTTCCTGACACAGCGCTCGAGTAGCGAGGGCTGGGGAAAAGCTGCCGATTTCCATGGCTGCTGGAGCGAAGCTGGGAAGCGCAGCAGCACTGTGCTTTGAGGGGAATTCACTCCAGCTCTGCCACTGCTGGTATTTTTCCCATCAGCTGAGACTAGGGCAAGAAGGAGGACCCGGGTAACTATAGACTGGTCAGCCTCACCTCCATCCCTGGAAAGGTGATGGAACAACTTGTTCTTGTCACTATCTCTAGGCACATCAAGGACATGGGGGTCATCAAGAGCAGTCAACATGGTTTTATCAAGGGTAAATCATGTTTGACTAACCTCATAGCCTTCTATGAGGAAATTACTAGGTGGATAGATGATGGTAGAGCGGTAGATGTGGTTTATCTTGTTTTCAGTAAAGCATTTGACACCGTCTCCCACGGCATCCTTGTAGGTAAGTTGATCAAGTATGGGTTTGGTGATCAGGTAGTGAGGTGGATCAGGAACTGGTTGAAAGGAAGGAGTCAGAGAGTTGTAGTCAATGGGGCAGAATCTGGTTGGAGGTCTGTGACTAGTGGAGTCCCCCTGGATGAGGGTATAGAATGTACCCTCAGCAAGTTTGCTGATGACACTAAGCTGGGAGGAGTGGCTGACACACCAGAAGGCTGTGCTGCCATTCAGAGAGACTTAGATAGGCTGGAGAGTTGGGCGGGGAGAAACATGATGAAATTCAACAAGGGGAAGTGCAGAGTTTTGCATTTGGGGAAGAACAACACCATGTCCCAGTACAGGTTGGGGGCTGAACTGCTGGAGAGTAGTGTAGGTGAAAGAGACCTGGGGGTCCTGGTAGACAGGAGGATGACCATGAGCCAGCAATGTGCCCTTGTGGCCAAGAAGGCCAATGGCATCCTGGGGTGCATTAGAAAGGGTGTGGTTAGTAGGTCAAGAGAGGTTCTCCTCCCCCTCTATTCTGCATTGGTGAGGCCACATCTGGAGTATTGTGTCCAGTTCTGGGCCCCTCAGTTCAAAAAGGACAGGGAACTGCTCGAAAGAGTCCAGCGCAGAGCTACGAAGATAATTAAGGGAGTGGAACATCTAGCCCCAGAAGAAGTCAAGATAGAGGAAGAGTTTGACATGGTAGATGAGGATTGGGTTAGGGATCAGTTGAGTAATCTGGACATCCATAAATCAATGGGTCCAGATGGAATGCACCCAAGGGTGCTGAGGGAGCTGGCGGAGGTCATTGCTAGGCCACTCTCCATCATCTTCAGTAAATCATGGGCAACAGGTGAGGTGCCTGAGGACTGGAGGATAGCAAATGTCACTCCAGTCTACAAGAAGGGCAAGAAGGAGGACCCGGGTAACTATAGACCGGTCAGCCTCACCTCCATCCCTGGAAAGGTGATGGAACAACTTGTTCTTGTGACTATCTCCAGGCACATCAAGGACATGGGGGTCATCAAGAGCAGTCAGCATGGTTTTATCAAGGGTAAATCATGTTTGACTAACCTCATAGCCTTCTATGAGGAAATTACTAGGTGGATAGATGATGGTAGAGCGGTAGATGTGGTTTATCTTGATTTCAGTAAAGCATTTGACACCGTCTCCCACAGCATCCTTGTGGATAAGTTGATCAGGTATGGGTTTGGTGACCAGGAAGTGAGGTGGATTAGGAACTGGTTGAAAGGAAGGAGTCAGAGAGTTGTAGTCAATGGGGTAGAATCTGGTTGGAGGTGTGTTACTAGTGGAGTCCCACAAGGGTCGGTGCTGGGACCGGTGTTGTTCAACATCTTCATCAACGACCTGGATGAGGGTATAGAATGTACCCTCAGCAAGTTTGCTGATGACACTAAGCTGGGAGGAGTGGCTGACACACCAGAAGGCTGTGCTGCCATTCAGAGAGACTTAGATAGGTTGGTGAGTTGGGCGGGGAGAAACATGATGAAATTCAACAAGGGGAAGTGCAGAGTTTTACATTTGGGGAAGAACAACACCATGTCCCAGTACAGGTTGGGGGCTGAACTGCTGGAGAGTAGTGTAGGTGAAAGAGACCTGGGGGTCCTGGTAGACAGGAGGATGACCATGAGCCAGCAATGTGCCCTTGTGGCCAAGAAGGCCAATGGCATCCTGGGGTGTATTAGAAAGGGTGTGGTTAGTAGGTCAAGAGAGGTTCTCCTCCCCCTCTATTCTGCATTGGTGAGGCCACATCTGGAGTATTGTGTCCAGTTCTGGGCCCCTCAGTTCAAAAAGGACAGGGAACTGCTCGAAAGAGTCCAGCGCAGAGCTACGAAGATGATTAGGGGAGTGGAACATCTCCCTTATGAGGAAAGGCTGAGGGAGTTGGGTCTCTTTAGCTTGGAGAAAAGGAGACTGAGGGGTGACCTCATCAATGTTTACAAATATGTAAGGGGTGAGTGTCAGGGGGATGGAGTTAGGCTTTTCTCAGTGATGACCAGTGATAGGACAAGGGGTAATGGGTGTAAATTGGAGCATAGGAGGTTCAAGGTGAATATCTGAAAAAATAGAGTGAGAGTGACAGAGCCTGGGACAGACTGCCCAGGGAAGTTGTGGAGTCTCCTTCACTGGAGACATTCAAACCCACCTGGATGCGTTCCTGTGTGATGTACTCTAGGTGACCCTGCTCTGGCAGGGGGGTTGGGCTCTTCCAGCCCCTAAGATTCTATGATTCTATTGCAAAAATAAATCAAAGTGAGTTGCCGACTTCCCTGCTGTCCCTCCTGGGGTCCTTCCCAGCCCTGCACAGCCCAAGGCCATCACTGCTTGGGGTGCAGGCTCCTCGGCTGGGAGGGATGCTGCCCTCCTCCCTGAGACACCAGGGGCAGGATGCTCTTTAGGGATGGAGGTGCAGAAGGCTCTGCTTTCTCTTTCCTTCCCCACACTTACTTAATGAGAAGCCCCAAGGCAGCCAGCTCAGCTGGGGCAGGTCATGCTGGGCATGGGGGCTGCCACCTTCCCTGGCATGGCCCACACAGAGATGCAGACCCCTGCAGCCCCTTGCCCACACCCCCCTCAGGGGACATGGCTCCTGCTCAGCCCCCCTGGACACG